AGAGAGAGAGAGAGAGAGAGAGAAAGAAAGAAAGAAAGAAAGAAAGAAAGAAAGAAAGAAAGAAAGAAAGAAAGAAAGAAAGAAAGAAAGAGAGGGAAAAGGAAAAAGGAAAGGTGTTGTGGTAGCACCCACGCTACCACCACCCGTTCACCATGTCTGAGTGAGGGGCTGTGGATTAAAAATAGAGACAAGAGACAGCAGGTCATTCTCCCCAGCTGAATGCCGAATGCCATTTATTGAAGGAGGGAGGAAACCTTAAATACAGGCTTACAGCACAGTGGGAGAATCCCGGAGGGCAGAAGTTCGCTACCAATGTTCTACATTCTTGCATCTAAACTGTTTACACCAAATGCAGGATACACAAACAAAGAACCTCTGGTGAGCATTCAGGAAGAAGGAAACCAGCAGGAAATCAGCATAGGGAGGACATCTGGTCAAGGTCGGCAAGCAAGGCAACAGCTACCCAAAATGGGGGGCCAGGGCCCTACAGAAAGAAAAGGAGAGCTGGGTGGTAGCATACACCTTTAATCCCAGCGCATGGGAGGCATAGGGAGGAGAAACTGAATCCCAGGCTAGCCTGGGCAGGGCTACATTGAATATCTTGAATTGAAAACCAGGCCAGCTAAGGGCTAAATTGTGATATCTTGTTTAAAAATAAACAATGATAGAAGATTATAGTGAAGGCGCTCTGCCAGGGTGGTGAGCATGGCTCTGGCAGGCCTTGCCCTTCCCCCATTCCCTCTGCCTTGCTAAGGAACCTCAGATTACACTCTTAAAGCTGGCCACCAAGGCCAGCTTTAAGAGTGTAATCCCTTATTTGGCCATTTCCTCCTCCTGAGACTGAATACCAAAGTCCAGCTATCAAAAAGCATTCAAGTCCAACAATCTAAAGCCCCCCTTTGGCCACCTAATTAACATGCCTAATTAAAATTAAACACCTCATCCTAACACAGGGTTTCCCTTTTACCTTTATAAACCGCCATTTGTCTGTGGGCCATGTCTGTCTCCCCTCTATCCAGAGGCAGTCCTTTGTCCCCTCCCCCTTGTTCCCTTCCCCTTCTCACTCATCTTCTGTCTCCTGTCTTTGTCTCTTTTTCCTGCCCTTTGTCTCTCTGAAGCAAATAAATCTCCTTTGTGCTGAGAATTTGGTCTTGGGGTGTCCTGGGCTGGATACTTTTCTTTTCAGATGTAGCTTTAGGACTATGAGTACCTCCTTTCATAGGCTGCTTTCCCACTTACTATGTTTTTAATGTTTTCAGACAGCAAAGACAGAAAAATGAAAGCAGTGAACAAATCAGAATTGCTGTTCCTCACAAGGCTTCATCAGCTTCACACTCGGGATAATAATGTCCATACAAATAGTTTATAGACGGTTAATATCACTGATCCTGACACTGTGACATAAATAAAAATAGACTGTTGTGATGAATTATGATGGCTACTGAGAAGGCATAGAATAAAAAGACACATCTGTCAGTTTACTTAGAACATAGCTGTTTTGCAGACAACATAACGAATCTAGAATTAAAAACAACCTTGTTCCTCCATGAGAAGAATAATGTAGAACAATGAGAAATATATTTTCATATGGGCTATGTATGATAAATTTATGAGTAAGAATTATGTTGCCAACTATTTCTTAAAGGAAGGCAGACACAAAAACAGGCAATACAAATGTCTGGACATGGAGAAGTTTAGAAGCTTTATACTCCAGATGCTAAAGTACAACTGTAAAGAACTTGGCTTTGAGTAAATTTGCTGTGCTCTAGGCTCTACTTTTCTCAACAGAAATTAAACACCAGTTCCCAGGCATTATCAGCCAATGACCTATCAACGTTCCTGCAGATCTCCATCCCACTGCAAATACAAAAGGACCCCACAGAGGATGGGAGCAGCTCAGCAGATCCCAGCCCTTCCCAGCCCCCCACCCCAGCATTCGCTGTACCTGGGATCAGCTTCAGTGCATTCTCCAGGTACTGGTCCTCTGTGATGACTTCTCCCTTTAACTTCAGCTCCAGCATGAAATCCCAAACAGTCCAGATGAAGTCTGGAAAGAAACTCACAAACTCTGAAGAATTCTTTATTCCATCAGGATTTGGGGAAGACTTTGCCCTGATCAGCTCGGTGAGTTCTGTGACATAACTGGCATTCAGTTAAGGAAAAGTGAATTCATACACACATTCTCATGATTCTGTTATTAAAAATAAACCACAATAAACATTCTTTTCTTCCCCAGGTCTCCTCTGCCCCACCAAAAGCCACACAGCGACAGGGCAGGTCAGTGCCTCCATATGCATTCCAGGGCACTCAATGAAACATGGCAGCTCAGGTCCTGCAAGGATACTGCAGCTGCTCCAGGGCCTGATGGTTGATGGTGCTCATGCTGTTGTAGACGAAGGTGCTGCTCAGAAGCACGGCCAGGGCGAAGATCCAGGAGTCATTCTTAGGGTCACCCTGGAAGACACATGAGGGCAGAGGGCTGAGGAGAGGACTCCTCAGGAGTCTATCTGGACTGGCCCAGGGGCCTTGTTATCCCAGGAACTCTGAAGGCCAAAGCAGGGACAGCAAGAGTGCTTTTTCTGCCTAGAGGAAGAATCCAAGGTTGGCCTAGAAACTTAGTGAACCCATATTGCTCTGCACAGAACAGAGCTCTAAGTGGAGCAAGGGCCTTGGTGTAAGAATCAGACAAACTGAATCACATAGAAGAGAGGGTAGGGAATAGGCTTGAAGTCTTTTGCTCAGGAAAAGACTTTCTGACAGGAAGCAGATCCCATAGACTCTAAGAACAATCAATAAATGGGATCTCATTGATGGTTACTTAGCGGCGCTCTTACCCTTCGAGGAAATGTCACAAAACACGACAGAATCCACTAACAAGAGTTTTATTAAGATAAGGGAGAGAGACAGATATGCTCAGGCCTGTGGAAAGACAGGTGAGTAAAGATGGAGCTGGGAATATGGCACCAGCTTATAAAGGCTAGGCCACACCTGCGCACACAGGTCCATGTGGCTATTCCATGCATGTGTGTAGATCACTGTGTTACACTGCATGCAAAGCCACAGGGTCCTGGACACGCAAGACGTTTTGACCCAGAAATGACCAGGCAGAGGTGATTAGGTTCCACTGGGCATACACAACCATGCCCAACCGTGGGGTTGTGTTGTGAATCCATATCATCTCAGACTCTTTTTTTTAAAAAAAAAAAAAAAAGAAAAAGAAAAAAATAGCTGATGAGTGGGTATGGGGTGTTGTTTCTCTCAAAGACTGCTTCTAGCTGAATGGAGGGCATCAGTTGGCTCTTGGGGAAATGGGGAGGGTAGCTTGTGAAATCCTGGAATGATGGTGGGAGTACTGGAATCAAGTTCTGTCATCCCTTGTTCTGCAGCTGTCCATCCTTCGTGGTGTGGCTGGGAACCTTTTGTCTGACAAGATACTGGTGACATAGAAAAAGCTTAGAGAGAAAAGAATCATTATTTTATTTTTTGGAGTTGACATTTATCTGAGGTAGATCTGGCCTGTCCAGGTAGAGACATGTTAAAAGGTGCCTGTGAGAAAATTAATGATTATTATGGTGTTTTAGTACTCTGCTTAATTTTTACCTGAGACAAACTTTATTAGAGGTAGTTTATTTAAGGCACCTGTTTCCTTCTTTAGTTTAGCATTCACGAAACACAGGTGATCGGTTATTGAGTATTTAACAATGATAGACTGCTACATTACATTTTTCCTTATGGCCTGGGTTATTGTAATGGTCCTTTTGCCTCCAGCTCTGTGTGGCCCTAGTTGGGAAAGGAAGGGGTGATACCTTATTCCTCTGGAATTGGTGACAAGGCAGTGGATCCTGATGTCCTCTGGAGCTTGAGAGAACAAGGCCCTGTTGGTTTTACTGTATATGAAGAGAGATTTTTCTGGGATGGAGTTGAGATAAAAGGTTTTAGATGAGACAGGTGGAACCAATGAGGAAAGCCCTTGAGTTTAGCAGCTGTAGGAGTCACAAGAATTACCTTGAAGGGTCCCTGCCACTTAGGGGAAAGGAGTGAAGGGCGCTGGCCTGGAGGAAAGAGAAGAACCTGATCCCCGATGTGGATTGGAGGTGGACAATGATTGTCACATGCCTGAGGTAATGAACAGTCTGCGAAGCTCCATTGGATAGACCTTAGGTGACATAAAAGAGAAGTTAACAGGCTATCTGGAACAGTTGGAGGGTTGGATAGAAGACCTGGTATTAGAACTGGCCTTCCATACATTAGTTCAAATGGAGAAATTGAAAGAGGCTTTTTAGGAAGAGCCCTGAGCCTGAGAAGAGCTAGAGGCAATAATCTTACCCAATCAAGGTGAAGTTCCTGTAACATCTTAGTAAGAATAGTTTTTAGAGGCAAGTTGGTACGTTCCACCTTCCCTGAGGATTGAGGACGGTATGGGATATGAAAATGCCAAGGAATGTTAAGAGCCTTAGCTAGTGTCTGGGAAATCTGAGAGGTCAACTCGGGGCCATTGTCAGACTGAAGAGAAGCAGGAACCCCAAACTGAGGAATAATTTCTCGGAGAAGGAGGTCTGCAACTGTCTGGGTCCACTTACTAGAAACTGGGTATGACTCTACCCAATTTGAAAAATGAGTCCACCATCACAAGGAGATATTTAACTTTCCTGACGGTGGGCATATGGGTAAAAACGAGCTGCCAGTCAGTCCCTGGAAGGGAACCTCTAGTCTGGTGGGTGGGAAAAGGCTGACTCCTGTACTTGATATTGGTATCTGTTTTTTGGCAGATCTCACAAGAGGCAGTAAGAGTTCTTAAGAACTGTAAGTTCTCAGAGGTGGGCTGCAGGTGAGCTTTTATGAATTGAGACAGAGCAAGATTATTAGGATGAAAGAGCTGCTGAAGATAGGAAAGAATTTACCTAGTGTCAGGAGTTCCCTGTGAGGGTGTAAGCTGTACTGTATGGATTCCCTGTGGTGGGTGAGATGAGACTTGGTCCTGGAAGGCCACTGTCCTGGCTGCCTGGTCGGCCCAGTTGTTTCCCTTAGAGATGATAGAGCTATCGCTCTGATGAGACCTACAGTGGACAATAGCTTTGGGAGGTGGGAAGCCTCCAGCATGGCCATTATTTGGCCTGAGTTAGATATGGATTCCCCTTTTGCTGTGAGAAGGCCACACTCCCTCCAAATAGCAGTGTGGGACAGGAGGATATGAAAAGCATATTTGGAGTCTGTGTAAACATTTAGAGATTGTCCCTGTGCCAATTGAAAGGCACGGGTAAGAGCTATCAGCTCAGCCCATTGGTTAGTGGTGTGTGTGTGTGCAGTTAATGCCTGTGCCTCTATTATCTCAGTATCTGACACTATGGCATAACCCACTTTACTTGTCCCTTCATATAAAAAGGAGCTGCCATCTGTGTACCAGGTATAAGTAGCCTGAGGCAATGTGCTCTCCTGTATGTGTGAAGGGTGAGGTAACAGTTCCTCTAAGGTTTCATTGCAGGAATGAGAAGAAGAATAGTCAGCATTAGGTTGAGGGAGGAGGCTTGAAATGTTAAGAGGTGGACAGGTCTGGAAAGTAAGTGTGGCATCTTCTAGTAATGCCCCTATTCCCATCTACCTGCTTTTTTTTATAATAAGCAAAAGTCTGGGATGTAAGGATTATGTCCTTAATTTTATCACTAGCCTGCAACGGCGTCCCAGCCTAAAAAGCGGGCGTGCCCTCTGTGCGTTTTCTTTTCCACACTCTCTCCTTCCATACTCCCCACTTCCACACGGTCCCCTCCCCCCTCTTTCCCAATAAAGCTCTAGAAAGGTAACCATGGCTCATGACTCTTCCGGTCACCAATACAACCAGCACTCTCCTCCGTCAGCGGCCAGCCACGAGCTCCGCAGCATAACCAACACTCATGAGTAGGAAAAAGTAACAGTTACACATCTGCTAGATGGTTAGTATTCAGAATATATACAGAACTAAAAACAAACAAACACAAAAATTGAACATCAATAAAACAAACAGCCCAATTTAAAATTTGAGTGTAGAACCAAACAGAGAGCTCTCAAACAGTGAAACATAACAGGCTAAGAAACTCATTAAAAGGTTCAACTTTCTCAGCCACCGGGGAATTGCAAATTAAAACTGCTTTGCGATTTCATCCTATGGTAGTCAGAATGGCCAAGGGCAATAAAACAAACGGCAGCACGTGCTTTAAGTGCTGGTACACACATGATCTCACAGAGACTATGGCAGCATACACAGGGTCTGCACAGGTTCAGAGTAGACAAAGTCCCCGCTGAGAAGGGAAGTAGACACAAGGTCCTAACAGAACTTTAGTTTCAAAAAGGTGATGGTTGCTTCACAGATGGCTTCAAAGTACTTACAAATGTGCCAATAACATCTTTATAATGAAAAATCCTAAAATTCACATGGAGTCACAAAATACCCTCTTTACCCAGATTAATCTTAAGCAACAACAGCCGCACACATCCTGATTTAAAACAATTACTGAGCTATAGTAATCAGAACAGTACAGTTTATTCAAAAATCTTTTCCCAAGTGCTGTTAACAGATACCATAAGAAGAGCAAAGGAGGTGACAATGGACGGTGTCTATCTTGGAATGTCATACTGAATCCCATTAATCTGTATAATTAACCTGTATCAATGAGTATCCTTAAAATATGATAATAATGAAACAAGGATATATGCCAATGGGACAGAGTAAGAGGCTCAGAAATAAATCCATGAGTTAACTATCAACTGATCCTTGCCAAGGCTGTCAAGAGCACACAAGCAGGAAGACAGTGTCTTCAAGAAATAGTGCTGGGGAAACGGCATCCACATGCAGAAAAGCAGAGTTAGATCCTATGCACACTCTACACAAAAGTCAGCCAATGATATAGAGTCAAGTGCAAAGATGTGAAACTGGATAGAGATCCCACCAGTGTGCATGTGCAAAGGCAATCCGACCAGCATAGGAAGGAATAGTGCAGGGTTCAATGCCAAGGCAGGGGCTCAAGCTGGAGGGATGGATGGACAAAGAAAACATACTACATGTTTGCAATGGACTCTGATACAGACATACAAAAAATAAATCCTGTGATATAAATGTGTAGGTGATCATGGAGTGGATCTAGGAAAGTGGAGTGACCAGGCATAGAAAGACAAATGCCATGAAGATCCCACGCACATACAAATCTTAAAAAGTTGAATGGAAATAGCAGAATGCTGGTTACCAGTGTCTGGAGGAGGGGATACTTCAGAAGAGATTGGGCAAATTTCATGGAATTTCAGTTACAAAAGAAATGAACAGAAAGCATAAAACCATGAGAAGAAGAATTAGTTTCTAAACATGAATCTGGACAATGGCATTTTTAGCTATGACACAAAAAGTACAGGAAACAAAAATCAAAATTAGACAAGTAGGGCAGAATCCAACTCAAAAACTCCTTACCAGAAGAAGAAATAACCAAGAAAAAATACAAAACAGAATGGGAGATCAATGTTTGCAAACCATATATTTTCTAGGAGATATTCAAAAAATATAAAAACATCATGCAACTCAACAGAAAAACAAATAAAATACCCAATTAAATATGAGAAAGAACTTGAATACATATTTCTAAAAGAAAAGCACACAAGTGGTTAATAAGTTTATGAGCAGATAGTGAACATCTGTTCATAAATCATCAGATAGGGAAGGGTAAGTCAAAATTGAAGTGGAGTATCATCACACGTCTTAGGGTGACCATCAGTGAAAGACAAAAGACAACAAGTTTTGAAGAAGGTAGAGAAAAAATGGACTGTGTGCTATTGGATAGGACATAAATTGTACAAACACTCTGGAGTGCATTAGAATGTTTCCTAAATTAATAAAAATAGAAGCTCTGTGTGATCCACATCTCATTTCTATGCATAAGGAATGGTTAATCTATATTGTTGACTTAATGGAACTTTAAATCACCATGGAAACAAATCTCTGGGCATTTGTATGAACTGTTATCTAGATTACATTGCCTGGGAGACTTGTCATGAAGATGAGTGGTACTGCTCCATTGGCTGGGTCTCAAGCTGAAGGAAAAGGAGGAAGAGAATGAACACAGGACTTCACTCCTCTGCTTCACAGTTGTAGATGAAATGTGACCAACTGCCTCATGTTCCTGCTGCTTGTGTTGATGGGCTGAATCCCCTGGAGCTGTCAGAACAAACCCTTTCTCCTCTGAGTCAGATTTTGTTTTTTTGTTTTTGTCTGTTTGTTTTTTGTCAGTTATTTGGTTACAGAAGCAGAAAGTAGATAAGACAGTGCAAACCCAGAGGAGTGAGGACAATCCTCAAGAGCCAGGCTCATCCGTGTCTCTTGCACCATTATTCAGAATAGTCAAAATGTTGAACGGATATAAATTCTTCTCAGTGACAAAGATTTGTCCTGACTGTGGGCAAGGCAGGAAAACTCTAGTTACACATCGGTGCCCAGAGGTCTCATGTGTTAAAATGGCAGCGCCCCAGCTTGTGTGCTGATATGTAAGTGCCCAGCAGCCAGCACCATTTTTGAGGGATTCTGAAGATTTTAGGAGTTGAAGCCTCGATGGAGGATAAGGTAGGCAGAGGAGTGATATTGGAAGTTGTAACTCGGTCCCCAATCCCTTCCTCAGCCTCTGCTACCTGTCTCCCACTCAGCTGCCTCTGTGATCTCAGTATGGTCCCTGGATTGATGAACCCAATGACTGGAGTGGAATCTCAGAAACTGTTGAGAGAAGCGCGTCCCCATTAGTCCTTCTCCCGGGTGTTTGGGCAGAGCCATGGAAAGGCAAAGCAGAGGACAGTGCCCACGAGAAGCAGATGTGAACAGTAGAACTGGCAGTGCTGTGAGTCTCAACACTCAAAACGGAGCTTCATCTTTCCTCAAAAGGGCCTTAGTTTATAGTCATCTGTTTCAAGCTAGAAGGGACATTTAACGTGTGAATGGGGCCACCCAGGGCTCCAAATGCAAACAAAGAAGCATCCAGGAATCAGAAAACATAGAGCTCCCTGGTAGCTGCAGTGAGAGTGGTTTGAGCCAGCCACTCTTGTACACACCTGTAATCCCTATAGGCAGGAGACAGAGGCAGGAGAATTGCCATTAGTCAGAGACCAGCTGGGACTACATAGTTGGAACCAGACCAACCAACAAGACTGTCTCAAAAAAAAAGTATTTTTTACAAATTGTGGGAACTGGTATGGTTTCCAAGTCAGAGACATGCAAGAAGAAAAAAGAAAAACTAGAAAAAGATATTTATTATAATAGTTTTGTGTTCAAAGTTATTAAAGAAACAAAAGTGCAGCTATAAAAGGATATAAAGTCCTATTTTAAACTTTTCCAAGATTTATTTATTTCTTAATAAATAATTTTTAAGATATATTTATTTCATTTTATGAATATCAGATTTTGCCTACATGTATGTAAGTGCACCGTGTGCATGCCTAGTGCCCATAAAAGCCAAATAAAAGCATCAGATCCTTTAAGAGCTGGAGTTAGAGAGAATTTTGAGTCACCACGTGGGTGCTTGGAACCAAATCCTGTCTAAGAGCAGCAAGTTCTCTTAACCACTAGACCATCTATCCAGCCCTACCCATGATTTTTAAAGTCTTAAGTAATCAAAGACCTTTCTATCCTGATAGAAATATTTTATTGAAAAAGGAAGCCTGCTGTATGAGACCAGAGATTGACACACAAGATCCCAATCCTTAGGGCATCAGAGAGGCCCTGTCTCCAGGCCTCCTAGGACAGATTTCCCTTAGTGGAATGGAAGGAAAGAATGCAGGAACCGATTATTGTGGAGCAGTAATTAGTCATGCAAATTAGCATGAGAGGGTGGCTTTGCTGACAGGAGTTTGGCTTTCCTTTGTTCTAACTGGGAATAAGAATTAAGATCATGTGACACAGACAGTCAAACCTTTGGCTGGTACCCAGCATGCTTCTCACCGTGATTCTGTCCTGCCAGACGGTTCATCAGGTAGGACTTCCCTGTCCGATACAATCCAACAATAGCCACGACTACCACTGGCTGAGAAATCGTGTCCAGGATCTCGATGGCTTTCTGGTTCACAGACAGCTGCTCCTTGAAGTTTTCCACCAGGCAAATGGGAGCCATCATTTCTGGTCTGGCCATAGCCACGTGCCAAGCTAGAAGAATCTGCAA